TTGTACAAAAATACAAAATAGGTATACATTTAAAACTTATTGTTTAGAAATATTTTAATGTGCAAAATTAATTGATTTTCCTAGAAACCAAACCAAAATGGGTTTCGTGGAATACCAACCGCTTTAGCCAGCAATTAAATAAACATAAAATGTCAGCGACTTGGCCAAATAATTTCAATAACCAAAATTGGCTGGAAAACCCTTCCGGGGGAAGGACCTTATATGGGAAATGCTGGCTTGCGGTCGTTTTAAACAAACCGCAGGTGTTGCATACATTTGCCAGCTTTGCATTAATTATGATGTGTGTGTCTCGTGAGAAAGGGGGTGCGGGGAAAGCGAACAGGGGGCGGTTAGTGTCCAGAGGGGCGTGCCGGCAAAACTATTTGCCGCACTTGCGACCAAAAGCTCGTACGTAAAATTGTAGCATACTTATGGGCTAAAGTAATTTTATTGCCATGCACAGGAAGCTGCACAGACGACGTCGTCCTGGAAGAGGTCCTGCGGAAAGGCAGGGGGAAATTCGGTTCCCCGTAGAGCTCCTGCCACATCGTGTGACCCGTAAACTTTGCAGTTTCTTTGTTTGGACTTGGCCCAACGTGCCGGGCCCAAGTTTGTTGCCGCTCTTATTATTTTAGTTGGGTAGTTTTCGCTAGTTCCTCCCGTTTCCTGTTGTACAGAAAGAAAAAGTATAATCCTAGATTTTATTTTACAACAGTGTATCATAAACTAGTTACATAAGAAAATCTGGCGGACTCCTTAATGCATTTTTTCCAAATTTTTCAAGTTATTAGTTGATTTTTTATATTTTTAAAAAGTTGTAAAGACTCTGTTTTAATTAATGCATTTCCCAAGCATTATGGGTATGATTTTCAGTGTATAGTTTTTTCTTACTACCGTGGAGAGTGGATGATGTTGAGATCCTGCGTCCTGGGTATGCGTCCGCACATAAAATGTTATTGCGAAAAACTATTAAATTTCTCTAGAGATGAAAATATGATCAGAAATTTAAATCGATTTATTAAAAGCCGTCGCAGTTGTTCGTTCAAGTGATTGGAGTTGGAGCTGGAGTTACTTGGCCAACTACGAAAAGGAACATGTGTTGCCGTACAAAAGTTTTCGGTTCCCGAACACCGAAAAGGTTTCCACTGTAAGACGATTTCTGTTTGATGGGAGTGTAAGGGATACAGTGGGAACTTCTTAAAAATTACTAAGACAGGAGAGTAAGAAGAAGCTGTGACATACTTTTTAGATGGCAAATATTAATAATGGCAAATAAAAAACAAATAAAATTTATCATAATAATATATATTCTAAAATAAATATTTTTATAAATGTATATTTTATTGCTATTAAAAATAAGAAATTTGTTAAGCTTATCTAGTATTTCAAATAATCCACTTAAGAGCCCACGGTGCCCAGTTCCCTTTGCAGAACACATAATAATCCGCAATGGCAGTCATATTTCGGTCAAAACTGGGGAAAACAAAATTTACTATGTACACTTAATGTCTAGACAAAGCTTCCCAATTACCTTATCCGATTACACGAAGATTTGGCCCACGAAGTGTTGGATGTTGACTACGAGCCCCCCGGAACCCGAAAAGAGCCAAAAGTGTAAACCCGATCCCAAAACCCAAGCCCAAAAGCATTGCTTTTTCGAAACCCTTGACCCGGCATGCCAGGAACTCTTCGAGAGAAATCTTCATATTACTGTTGTCCCTTTTTTAGGACATACCCCAGCCCTCTTTTTTTGGAGCGGAAAATGTTGAAATAATTTGGGCAAAAGAAATGTTCTCACACCTTTCTCACTGGGGGGAAAGGAGTAAAAGGCACTTAAGTGCCTTGGCCAGGACTCGGGTTTTTAATTGAAGTGCAGTCCACAGTCCTTGTGTGTGTGTGTCGTTTTTCAAGCAGGTGTAAAGTTAAATCATAAAATGAAATTAAAATAAACCAAAGCCGAAGCTGAAGCCCAAGCCAAACGTAATGAAGTACGGAAACACTCCACAAAAAAAGTCCAAAGGAAAGAAAGGATTAAGCGTGGGCTAACTCGACATCCCAAAGGGTTTCCGTTTCCGGTTGCCTCCCCTGGTGCCCATAATTAGCTGCAAGTTGGCTAACAAATTTTTGGAGAAATTTTTCTACACTTTTTTTCCGCACATTTTTTTTAGGAAAGCTACATTTTGTTATTGAAAAATTCATGAGCCCTTTGCCTAGGACATTGACACAAGGACTCGATGGGGCAGTTCAGGGGCGTGGCATAAGGATATGGACATATAAAAGAGAAACAAGGACAACAAGAGAAACTAGGATTGAATACGTAAATTAATTTAAAAATGTATTTTGTTTTTGCTCACTACTTTTCACAATTGGGAGAAAAGGACGTAAATATTCTTTAAAAATGTATTTTAATAATTTTTAATTTGAATAGAAAAAGGTTTTTAAACATTATATATTAGTTTATATCAATACTTCCAACTTAACTAAACCTATTTCCTGAATCAAAACGAAACCCTTTTCCCGACTTAACCCTTTAAAAGCACACGCCTCTGCCTTTAGCCTGTGCAAACGTTTTTGTCATATTACAATATAATTTATTAAAATTCTTATTTGCAGCGCAAAGGACAGCAGCTGAAAGATAGAAAGAGACAGCCGAAGACAGGTCTCTGCTATAAAAACAAAACCGCCTCGTTAGTGTTGAATTTTTAATAAAAAGCCGCACATGATACCGAGTCCAAAAGTAAATTACAATATTCCTTCTATAATTTGTTATAATGAGGCACATTTCTCGTTAACTCATCCTCTGCTCTCCCCTTTTGGTATTTTATTAAGTGTAATTGCGTATTGGTGGCCATTAAATAGATAAAACCCTCGGCAAGCCTCGACTTTTTTTTGCGCTGTCCTTTTCACATTTGCATATGGAAAACGCAATCAAAACGCCAGAAAGTCAACAAAACCGCTAAGTAAACTCAAACAGAACGGTCAGTGAAAATGTGGGAGGCCACCTGAAAATCCGAACATTTCATTGCGATGCCCATGCGTTTGTGTGTGAGCTCTAGCGAATTGCACACGCCCCTCAGAGAAACCTATATACATAAACACATATATACACCACATCCGCCGACATTCAGTTCCGGTATTCAATGTTTGTCTTTGCGGTTACGCCTCCGGAATCGACTGGCGGAATCGCGTGGGTCAGCGGCCATTAAATGCCGGGTCAGCAAATTGTGCATACGACCTGTGAGCATTCGGGTTTTATTCGGGGGTGTCACAGAAATAAGTTTTTTAATAACGGAAATCCCATTCTTATTTTATTTACTTTTTAATGTTATTAAAACAGTTCCAGTTTCCAGAATTAAATTTTATATTTAGCTGATAAACCAAGTATTTATTTTTATATTTTTTTTTTATTTTCAGACATGTCAAAAATGAAATTTAAAATGGGGAAAGGTGAAAGTCCATATATGTCCAAAAGAACAACAATGAAGTGACCCATAAAGAGACAATGTGTTTATGAACCTGAAATTATTATCAAGCGAATTTTTAGCAAGTTGGTGCAAAGTATAAAACAAATAACGGCAGAATTGGACTTACCCAATTAGATAAAAAATTCCCCCTCAAAGAAAAAAAACGCCCACACAAAACCAAACCTTGCCCTTTTGTGACTAAACCTTAATAAATAAAACGGCATTTGAAAATAAGGGGGTGACCAATTAAGAACCAATTTCAAAAGTCACAACACAAATATATGATTAAGAAGACTATTGAAGAAAGATAACAAAATCTATACGTTTATTTAAAAAGATAAGCCCCCCAACTCAAGAATTGAATTCTTTCCATTGTTCTTTCCAAGCCAAAGCACAACAATTTCCCCCGGAATCTTTTAAGTTCGAAGAAAATTAGCCCAACAAATGATGCAGAGAAGGAAAAGCGAAATGCCAGGAACAGGCAATTAAAGAGCAACCAATACCCCCGCCGTAAATTCAGAAATCCCCCGACCTTCGGGGCAGGCAGCCAAGCAAACGGAAAGGAAAATTCATTACAAACAAATTAACAAATAAATCAAATTTCAATACGAAAATTTGTTTGCGAAAACAATTTTGAGACGGGTTGGTAAGTTAGTTCTCGGGGATAAGTCGGTGGGGGGATATATACAAATCGCATGCCACGCCCCAACGCGGAAACCGAGAAAAGCGGGGGAAAATGTAGAATCCATTTGACTGACAGGCGGCAAATCGTCTGAAGCCCAGTCAGCGCACTTGAGAAATCATTTATCTAAATTAATTCCTGTCGTTTACATTTGCCAGAAACAAAAGGGCGGGGTATTTTAAGGATGAGCGCGGGGATTTTCTTTGGGGGTAAGTTGATTTTAAATGCCAAGGAAAACAAAAATCAAAGATTAAGTCAAACATTTACTACTTTCCGGATTGGGGTTCTAATTGCCTGGAAGCTAGACAAACTCACGCCTTAAAATTGCTAACCCACTGATAAATGACATGAATGCGCATTTCTGTCGACATCGCGTTAATAACTCATTTCGAAATTCCGCAACAAACTCTAACATGCGCGTAACCCACAGCCGACATAAAAAAACATACACCGAAAAAACAATTAAAATTGTTCTTAGACTGAAATGGCAACAAAATTTTCAACCCTTTCGAACCCGGATCCCAAAACTCTGTTTGCCCCCTCATTTTAAGCGCAACGGGCGGCTTTTCGTCTGAGGAAAAGTTTTGATACATCAAAATCGCGAGGGAAACGCGCGGTTTTTGACGTTAGGCTTCGGGAAAGATGAAAAGTAGCATTTGAGAGTGAGAGTTAACCCCCAACAACAACTATATATACTACTACTGAAATGAGAGGGAGAGTGAGAGAGAGTTATACTTGCCTGCTGTAATAATTGGTTCTGTCAAAAGCAGCAATTATAATGCCTAAGCCTCTCTATAAATGATATATCAAATGGAATATTTGATTACATATTTCATTTGTAAGCCGGGCAGAAATGTTATTTTTTAAATCTCTAATAATAATCTTGAACAACATTGTTAGGTAAAACTAAGTTGGATAATGTGGAAATAATATGGCTAAAATAATTGTGTTTTAAGTTATTAATGTTATAGAGAATAATATTAAATGCATTTATAAATAAACTCTTCTTTACTTAGAATTTAGTTTCATTGTTTTATTTTATGTTTTCCCTTGAAAATAATAGTTTTTTTACTGCAGATTTGCGTTAAAAATTCTAGGAACTTCGTATACGTTATAGATTAAAGTTAAGTACATTATTTTGGCATTAATAGACTCTTTAACAATTATCTCTGATTCCAAACAAAATCAAATTAGCTAATTAATTCCCTTCACCAAATTTTGATGTGGTGGTTCCAGGAAAACATTGTTTACAAATTCAGGAGTCTTTCGCGCATAGGCGACTACAAGTTTATACGGAGATAGAAACTTTTGGTCCTCATTTCTGTCGCCCTGCTGCAAATTCATCGATATAACAATGTCTATAAAATCGTCCAGGAAATCTTCGTGCAAAGATGAAGGCATCCGCTCCAGAAAAGGACAAATGGCTTTAACATTATCTAAAAATTAAAGTAAGACAATGATTTAGGGGTCTAAAAATGTTCAAAAATTATTCACTCACCTTTCAGAGTCCTTACACCCTCGTAAACGAATACTTCATTTCGTATTTCCACATTGTGTTGAATGAAACCCACATCGTTCAACAACTGACTGAATTCCTCGCCGGGATTTAGGCTATAGTGAAGTGGTGATATGAATTGATCCACATCCTGCATATAAGTCGACCACTTTTCATTCGTTTTGAGCAGCTTGTAGACTTCGTAAACCGGATTGGAGGCCAAGAAGACCAGGAGACAGTCACCTCCTTCGGGTTTGAGGAGATTGTAGATATTGCCGAGGGCCCCCTTCAGGTTTTGCACCCAGTGGAGGCAGTAAAACGAGGTGACATGATCGAATCCACCACTCAGTTCCTCGGGGAGTCGCTCACATCCAATGTCCAGAACTTGGAACCGGGTTCGCTCCTCCCGCTGATAATGCTTGCTGGCATAGCCCACCATCTGACTGGAAATGTCTGTGCCCACCAATTGACCGCGAACCGGCAGCAGGGGCCTCACAAAATCCATGAGAACATTTCCGGATCCTGAACCGACATCCAAAAGGGAATCCTCTCCATCGGCGCGCCACTGCAAAGTCGATGCAAACTCGTCCAGAATCAATTTGGCATCGTGCCTTTGCACCTGGTTGGCGTGCTGATATAGAGAGGCCTGATTCATGTCGACAACTGATCGACGATTGGGGCCGATCTCAGCTTTATATACACCCCGGCTAGGTCGTGATGTCATCAGCCAGAGATTCTAATTTTTTGCTCCCGCCTGAAATCACGCTCTTCAACTCATGACGTCGAGCTAATTACGTACGAGCATTATTTATTTTTAAAGCTTTGTAATTTTATTGGTTCCGTTAAGGGGAAGCCAACAAAAAGAGCGAGCGAGCTAACAGCTAGGGCTTACACTGGTCCACAAAATATTTAGACGAAATTGATCATTTATCCATGAGGGCACATATTTTATTGGTAAAGTATTAAAGTATTTTTTATTTATTTTACATTTTAGAATATGGTGATAATTTATCCTCACAGTTAAATATATATATTTTTTTAGAACTCATGAATTCGTTTAATTAAAAAAACATGTCATCTTTAAGCACTAAAAAAAGTAATTAAAATTTTAAATAATATTGTTAGATAGTTTTCAAATAAATTTTGTGTTTAGGACATTATTTTACCTAAATTTAAAACATCATTTAAACTGATATCAGAATCAAATATTATTTAAATCATTAATTACAAATTTAATTTTCATAATTTCATAAACAACAAATTCGCAAACAATAAAAATGCAAACAAAACCTCGTGCTAATTTTTATCTTCAGAAATCGGGCATGGAAAGCTCAAGTTCTAGGTCAATGGAGCTTAGCTAATGCTTCCTTCATAGAATTATTATGACTGAAGTACGTAACCAGGCATAGAAATGCAAATCACAAATGAACTTGAGCACACCCCTGGAAGTAAATTCCACACGAAATTAACATAATTTTCATGACCAGTGTACCAGCCTCCAATTGAACAATGGCAATAAGCCACAGCCAATGAATGAGAATGCCCAAAAAAATGCTCATAATATTCGGTGAACCCAAAAGTGCAGAAGTGAAATATTTTTGGGGTGCATTCAACTCGAAAAGACATTAAAAAAGAACTGGAGTTAGTTCGATGACCTACCCTAAGAAAGATTTTAAAACAGTGCAAGAGAAATTACGCTATTTTTGGAAAATTATAAGTATCAATAATGATGTTTCAAAATATAAATAGAAATGTGGAATATTTTTTTGGTTAGAGTGCGAGACATAGCTCACCCTTTTCCTTCTCTCTGATATTCCGGGGAATATAAATTCATTAAAAACATTCCATTTAGCTGCAAATTACATTTGTGTAATTGCTGCCAGGCCCAGAAAGCGAAGCTCATGATATTTCAAATATTTCACATATGAGCGCAGTACGACCGTTTGATGTCCCTGGGTTATGAATACGCTCTCACGTTCTCATATTCATAGCATAGCATTCTCCAACACTCGGGACATCACATCCATATAAATTCATTTGCCAAAAGTGACATCAAAAGCCCCTTTGCTCGGTTTCTGTTTCTGGCTTAATGTGTGTGGGCGTTACGGCTGGTTAATTGCATTTGTCGCAGACTCTTTTTGGCCAAATAGGCAAAAGGCAAACGGCAAACGGCAAAAGGGGTTATTCGGCTTGCAATTACCGAAAGCTGTCGATTGGCTCGAGCTGTCACAGAGCCACGGAAATCAATTAAATCGGACGAGCCGAACTGAGGACTCCAGGATTTCGATTCATTTGGGAGTATGATGAGTTTACTGGCTTGGGGTATTTTAATGCATTTATATGACAAAATTTAATTATTCTTGGAGACAAGGGAGAAATAAGGAATTTAAGTAAAGTGTTGTCTTTAGGGAGGAACTGAAGTTCACAGTTCATTCGTTAAAAACCAATATTACAACGTATTTATTTGTAGATTTACAACTAAAAAATCCTGTACGAAAAATAAAACTTATATTAATTAAAGCATCGCTTTAAGGAAACATGAATGTTATATGATTGCTAAATTCGTTGTTCATGATTCATAATTGTGTCATTTGTCAAACAGCCAATTCAGATGAATTTTTCAATGGAATTCGTTATCAAAATTAGTTGCTCATTCGTAAATAATATTTCACTAGATCAGTGGCCACTTTAACAGAAAAAAAAATTTAAATTAAGCTTTTATAGTTATGACCGAACAAAATCATGACCTTAAATTTAGTGATTAAACTTAATAGATTAACAATTCAGGTTTTTCCCCGACTGTAAAATTAACAAATATTAATGTTCAAATTATTGTTATTTTTATGAAATCTATGTTAAGAAAGTTTTTTAAGTAGGAATTCTACCAACGATTTGCATATAAAATCAACTCTCATTGTTCCTTAGTAATCCTAAGCCAATTAATTCAGCTTACACCTCCTTTCGAAATCTCAAACACCCCTTTCAGTGTAAACAATGCAAGAAATAAAGAACCAAAAGGAAAAGTAAACGAAATTGAATAGTTTTATGCAATATCTAATGGATCCACGAACACTTATAAACCCGCCCTTCACCCACTAAACAACCCTTAACCCCCAACTTCACCATCTTACCACTCCTTCCCGAGAAAACCTTCGCACACACTTGAAAACTATTTAAAGTTTATCTAACTGAACAGTAGACTATAGAAGTCCGTTCTGGTTATTTGTGCGTGTGGTATGGGGGGTTGGCAGTAGGAACAACAAAAACTTTTCCATATGTTAAAATATCAAAATAACAAACAAAGCAAGAAAATCGTATAAATGGGAAAGGGTTTGAGAGCGAGATTCGGTTCCTCACGGGTGGGGAAATGAGTTTTTAATGTCCCAAAGGGGAATTCTTTGGGAGTTCTATATAGCCAGAAACATGTACACGGAAAAAATAAAACAAATTTACAAGTTATTGGTTAATTTTATTTTATTGTATTTAATTGTTCGACATAAAGAAATAGAAAATAGAAACAATTTTACAATTTGTAGGTTTAGAAAAAAATATTGTTTATTTAATTTAAATAGTTTTATGTTTAAGAATCAGCTTAAACTGTATCACTGTATTATTTTAATGATTTTTTTACAATTTTTTATAAAAATAAATCTACTTATATGTATCCCTTTTAATCCCCAATGGACTAATTGTAGTAATTGTAGTTAAAATCTAACAAATTCTTTTCGATCCACTCCCTAAACATAGCCACATCCGTGTAGGTTGCCGGGACATTTTCCTTTCCGCAGTCGATGCCCCAGTTCACGATGCCCACCTGCATGTAGACATCCGAATTCCGGGCTCCGATCGAACAGAACAAGGCTGATCCTCCATCGCCGATGCAGGCATCCTGGTTTAACTCACCTCCGGCACAAATTAGACTCTCGGGAAGCTGATAGCTCCAACCCAAGTTTGTTCGTCTTAGCTGTTGCTCACATGTACTTCTTTTTATTATCGGTAACGTAACTCTCTTCAGAATGGTCGAATGGCTTGGATCCGTGGGATATGTTTTTCCCCAACCGGCAACAATGCAGCGATGTCCTTCGAACGATGTTGTTGGACTGGGCAAACAGATGGTTCGAATGTGGTTCTTCAACTGGAATTTTGACTTTAGGAAAAGAAGCGCTATATTGTTGGCACCTGTTTGAAAATCAAACCTTTCGTGCCACACTATTTTCTCCACCTCGCGCTCCTCAAACTGGAATCCCTCTCTGTTGGAATTAAGGTCCCATTCGCCAGCCCTGACTATAATTTTATCCTTGGTCTCATATTTTACGAGATGGGCTGCAGTGAGGACAACTCCTGGTGCAATTAGGGAGCCGCCAGCCAGGAATTTTCCATTTTTAAACAGAGCCACAACCCAGGGATATTCACCAGGAGTCGTTAGATTGTTGAAGTGATACCATTCCATTTCTTCATTTGGATTACTCTTGCCGCACGGTTGGTTTTCAGCTCCATAGTTAGTGGGATAGTAAGGTTTACTTGGATTGATAGTAGGAGCAATATTTGGATGGTTATTTTCCGGGTATAAATCGCATCTTACAGGATTATTCTAAGAATAATCAAGAATATATTACGTAAGATCTTTCGGACCTAAATCGATTTTATAAACTTACTTGTCGGGGAGTTTTGCAACAAACTTCAGACGGTCTGCACCTATTTGTGCGGTAATACGGCTGATTAAAATTCAAAATGGGTGCCTGTTCATCACAATGTTCCCTAGAAAGACAGTGGTAAAGGCAGGCATCGCCAAAAAGAACCAAGGAGCCAAGGAATAGAGCTCCGAAAGTCCAAAATCGTTCCATAATTGTTAGAGATGAGAAAGAAACTAACAGTCCGATGATGGTGGCTCCCTCGCTTTATACATCCCAAAATCCACAGTCATAGGTCTTTATCGTACATTAGTGTTCAAACTTAGCTTTTTTTGACAGTGACGTTGTTTTGTCTAAATTACCAAAAATTTGAGTCATAAATGATTCATATTTATTAGAAATAAGGGGTGCCGAAATAAATACTTTTATTGTTTAAAAATTGACACAAGTATGTTATAGAAAATTAAAGTGAGCATCGAACGAAATATTATACAAAATTATTTTATTGTATTATCAAACAGTTTGTAATTTTTGGCAGTGTATATAGTCTGTGATAGAAGAGTGAGCAATGCGGATTTAAAATACAAAGTAAACGGCGATTTGTTGTTATTGATTAGAGTGGACAGACCCAGACAAACATATGAGCTCATCCTTTGGCTTCATCATCTCAGTTTCGCCCTACGAAAATCCAAGGGGCGACTTTCCTGTCTCCCAAGACGACGATGCCCGCAAACTTGATGAGTATTTAAAAGTTTTCCATTGTGTGTTTGATGAATATTTAATTAAGCATAAAAGGAGCGGAGCAAGAAAGGGAAAAACTTCGGCAAAGGGTTGCTACTGTTTCACTGTGTTTTTCTTTTGTTTTTCATTTCCTTTTCGCCGAAAACCCATCCGCTGCCCCATTTCCCCTTTTACCCAGCATCGTGTGGCGAGCTTAGAGAGTGCAAAAGAATAAAACAAAATCAATTAACGCTTCCTTGTTCCGTTTTTGCTTTTAGCTGGTTGTTATGTTTGAATACCCTATTTGTTGGAAAATTGAGAAAAGGAATTTTAAAAAAATTATATTTTAATAAATTAAAAAAATTCAACCTCTTTCTAAAATGTCAATTAATTTTGCGTCCCATGCCCACCAACCTATTAATTTAAAGTTAAAAAAAAATTAGTTATAAAATTAATTTCTTAAATTAAAAACTTATGGATTAAAAATAATAAAATTAAACTGTATTTTAAATTACGAGGTTAAATTAAGTTTATTATATATCTTAAACTCTAAGTACCTAGAGATATTCCATATTACCATATAAGTATACTTATACGACAATATTTTTTGTGTAATTATTATAAGAGTATCCAAAATTCATTTATCAGAAATCTTTCACTCTTCTTCGACTGTTTATATAATTTTTATTATACAAGTATTTTACAAGTTGTAGGTAAGCAAAAGGCCAGGCTCAAAAGAGCAACGAAAATAATTAAATAGTAAAGAAGGCAGCGCGCGCCAAGGAAAGACCCCTCCCCCACCCAATAATCCGGCCCACTCAACCCTTTGTGCCACTTTCTCCCCACAACACACATTTCTTTTCGTTTTTTTTTCGAGACTCGGGGCCCAAAGAAGCCCACAAATAGCCAAAAGCTAGCGAGTGTTGATGGCAGCCAACGAAATCCTTTTACATTTTCTATTTTTTGGTTTTTTGCGGGCGTTGGGAAAATTAATTAAAAATTAAATGAATGAACGAACGCTGGGATAATGAGCCCCTAAGCTGATTTTGCGCTTAAAAGTATGCGATGGGAAAAAATTGTCGAGCTGCCCGAGCATGGCATTCAATAACAATTTCCACCCCACTGCCACGCCCACCTCAGCTATACAGGTATTTTGCCCACACCCCACCCACAACAACAAAGAAAGGAAAAACTTGCATTTTTTTGTCGCAATTTTTTTGCTGTTTGTATTTTATTTTCGTTTAATATCGACAAAGCGCCAACGGAAAAGAAATCTGAGGGGCGTGGTGGAGATGGAAAAAGAGCAACAGAGCAACAGAGAAAAATGGTGAAATTTTCTTTAACGTAACAAAATATTTTTATAAAATAATCAAGTTTTCCTTTTGCTTTGTTTGTTGCAAATTATTTTTAGCTTTGTGGAAGAGGCGAACGAGGAAGCTGTAGGGCTTTTTATGTGTTCGGGTGTAAATTAAAATCGTCCGCACTGCGCTTTTTTATAATGAGAAAACTGTGGAGGGGTGGAAACTCAATATTGAAAGACAGAAATAAAATTAATTAATAATGGCAAAATATTTCAATGGTGAGCTCTCATAAAAAGAGAGATAAAGGTTCGAAAATGAAAGGAAAAATATGATAGGACAAGGAAAAGTTAAAAGTTAAAAGGAATTCGTAAAATGATATTTTTTTATCAAAAGAAAAGTGGCAACCTATTGGGGGCAGATAAGCGAAAATACACGAACTTCTTTTCTAGTTTAAGTTTCAACTTTCAATATAATCAATATATATCATTTATTTATCCTACAAAAATAATTCCCTAGTTGTTTTTAAGGTAAAGTTTCGGTTTCAATTACGAATTAGCTTTTGTCTCAGGGAATGACCTTACCCTAAAGGGGCTGAAAGTCAAATTCATGGCACAGCAACCCCTAAACCGCAAAACATTCAAACACCAAACCCTTAACTATGTATATATCTTCCCCTTTTTGAGAACAAATGAAGACAAGGACAAGAAGACTGAACACTATCAAAAGTCAATTACAATGCAATTATTGTTTCCCCCTGCCAGTGGAGAACCAGAAAACATTTTCAAAAGCCATTGAAAACTTTAATTGAAAATATCAAATTATTTTCGAGTTAGCGTCAGCATAAAAAAGTCAGTCGAAAGACTCCTTGAGTTCGCCTTGAGTTCGATGAGGTTTTAGGGAAGACCTCGGGCTGAACGAGTGTATAACCAAAGATACACTGGTGTTTGTATGTAAACCATTAATTACATGGCCAGATTGTAGTGAACTGGGGGAAAGAAAGTTGCCGCAGAGTCAAGAGTCAGGCCAAATTGTAATGAGTTGGCATTTTGTGAAATTCCCTGAGACACACAGGCAGACCCCACTGAAATATCTCGTTGTAAAGTAGCTGAAATGACATTAAAAAGGCAAAACCAAGCAGAAAGGACGTATCCACATCCTTATGGACACTAACCAGCCAGAAGGAAGGCACACACACATGGGGTTAAACCCGAGCTGGGGATAATTCTTCTTCAACCCACTCCCTGCCCATCGTTTCATAGTTTACAATCTTATTATCTTGCCTTGGCATCTCAAGGCCCACAAACACCCACTCACTTACCCACACATTTTCCTAAGGCAATTAAAAATCTTCACACTGTCGTCGATGTCCTTTTCCTGCTTTTCCCACTTTTCCAACGCTTGTGTCCGTTTTGTTATTCCCCCTGGCCCAACTTGATTTTGTTTATTAAACATATTTTGCATAAAATTCACTTTATTTGCAGTTTATTTCGTAAGAAAATTATAAGGTTCTTCACAATCCCCCCTTTCCGTGTGTGACACGCTTGATAGTTTTTCCTCGAGAGGGGGAAATTGCGTTTTAAAGGAGGGATAGTGTACCTTATTCTTTGATTATGTTTGATCACGTTCTGTTGAAAAGTTTATTTGCTGGTAAGAGAGGTTTGTTTGCCTGGGATTTCATAAGTCTGAGATGCATTACCGGGACTGGAGGAGATAAGAAGATATAAGCGAAAGATTCTAGTTTATATAAAGGATTTAGGAAACAAAAATCTTATTTGCCAATGCAATGTTATTTCCATGATATAAACAATTATTGCTATGTATTCCCCATACATTTTCGAAAATCACTATTTTTTTAAGCAAATTAACTCCATAATATTTATCTGCCTAATCCCATCAGCACCGTTCATCTCATATTCCAATTTTGCCACCCCGCACCAACATTTCACGCAATTCTTATCTAACACATTCACTTCAACGTATTCCTCCAGCACCCCGAATGCAGTCACACATGAAAATCCCATAAAAATTGACAATAATAAGCCACATATCATCATTCCGCTCTCCACACATATGCACAGACGTACGTTCCACTCGATAAGAAGTCAGCAAGGCCTGCAAATCAACCAGTAAATCGAAGGCTGCTACCCTTCCAAAACCAAAAGCCGAATGATGGAGAAAATCCCATAAAAAACAGTTCAATGATATAGAAAAATAGATAAAGCTAAATTTGCAAAAATAACAACAAAGGGACTCGGAAAATGGCAGGGGAAATGGCAAATGGAAAACGCGTGGCTGCGAATCAACTTTAAACTAAGCCGCAAAAGGCACTTGAAAATCAACAAAAAAAAAATCGAAGAGCACTCGGATCTCAGTGGTGTTGTCAAGTGAATAATGGGACAAATCCGCAGAGTAAATATGACACGTTGCAAAATGGCATTCGATGATAAAAAGAAGGAATCTCAGGGTTCAGAGCCACACTCGGAAATGCGACCAGGAAATTCGCACACAGAAATATTTTTCAGAATTTAAGCTCGTTAAATCATTTTAAAAGTGTCTCCAATTTTTAAATTATATTTATTTAAATTAAAAGTGTTTTCTTTAAATTATAAATAAATTCTGAAAAAAGTTGAGCTAAAACCAAAAATATTTTCAATTAAAAACTTACTTCACATTACTGAATAAATACATAGGAATGAACCCTGGAATCCCAATTGAAAACATTAAAAATCTGTTTTTAAACCTACAACAAACTTTACTTTCTAGCTAAATTTTTTAAAACACTTTTTATGTTCAAATTGCAGACATGGTAAAATATTTTTGCAAGTGAACATACTCATAAACGCCCCACATCTGGAAGGTTTTGTTGTCACTGACAGACGCACATCCTTCGGGAAAGGTGTTTTGACAGGCCGTCAGGGCAAGTCAGAAGTGCAGACACAAAAAAAAGGGAACAGGAAAAAAAAAAACCAGGAGCAGTGGCAACAAGGGGTTAATATTTGCGCCGCACCCTCACCGTAGCATATCAATAAAAAGATCGCTCCGCTGGGCATACGAAATGTTTGTTTGATAAGCCAGTGTGGAGAAGTTCCAGACACTGAACAAAATTGTAAGTAAGAGTAAAAGAGTTTTCCAATTAAATCAATGTATTTTGAGCAATGACTTAACTGAAGTTATAACATTGATAAATATAAC